TCTAAAAACTCTTGATCAAATATAAAGATCGCCAACATTTGATCAAATATAAAGATCGCCAAAACACTATGAAGTACGATTTCAGCAAGAAAGTAACCCCAGTTTTTCAAATATTACAGCCAAACTCTCCTCTCTAGAACGCATTTCTAAAGAAAATTCAGACGCCAGTTGCTTTATTTTTTTCAAGCTAAGCACATTAATCAACATCAGCATGCCCACAGACATTTCGTATCAACAGCAGCGGAATTATTCCAAAATATCCATACACAAAGAGCTCAACGACAGGAAACTCATAACATAAACGATGGTGACAAGAAAAACGAAAAACACGAAGGAAGTGTTGAAGCTAGCACTTTACTCCAAATTGCATCCATAAAGCAAATAATTTCAAACATGTGAGATTTAGTAAAAGTGCTTTTATAAGTGAACTTTATGTGCAATCAGTTGAGTTGTTTATTGCAGAAAAATTGGAAGATTATATAAAATTTGAGATTTGAGAGACGAATGGATAATGTTTTGGGGTCCGCACAGTTCGTGAAGACGAACGGTCCATCTATCTTAGTAAGTGTAAAGTTCAAGAAACAAAGTGAGAAATATGAAGCGACGGAAAAGAGAATATATTCGGATACTCAAAAATTTTTTAGGCCCTTGCATTACAGTTAGCGACTTATAAGAGTTAAAGAGAACAATTGTTCGATACCTTGTTAACAATCATAATTTTTTGGATGCGACAAGAAAAATAATTCTTCTCCACATTTACATATTACACAGGATCATATGAAATTCCATGTTAGTTCTATGTTGAAAACCTTCCTATTTCCATGTCAAGTTCCATGTTAGTTCTATGTTAAACCTTCCTATTCTTCTGTTTCCCACATACATCATAAACTGATTTTATCCCATTTCATTTAAATAATTCAATTTAGTACGCCATAATTCGTTATTGATCTCAGAGTCAAAACGCTCAACTGTCGATCAAATATCTCGAATTATTCTGTTAGACGTCTAAAGCGGCTTCTAAATAAATACAAAAAAAATCTTTTTACGCCTCACCATTATAGAGCCAATTCTGCTTGGAACTTTCACTGAAGCAGGTAACATCGGTATTTATTATATGGATTTGGCTCGATACAGAAGTCGTAGAGAAGTACTATCAATCACTAAAGATCTGAGAGAATTATCACTGAAAAACCGGACGAGGTACATGCGAGTGCACCCGCACATTCTCTGTGCTAAGCTAAACCAAGAGAGCTGACCGTAGGTATCCAACCACATGAACAGCTGACGGGTTCTGTCGTTTTCAGTGTGCGGAATTGATTTGTATTTTTCGTGTGTAGGTGCACATGCATATTCATGCATGCATGCGTCGGTATGCATGCGTGTATCCGAATTCCATCTAGCATGTCAATTATGCCAGTGGCTTGTCATCCATTCAATGGTGTGAATGAGGTGGTCAAGAATATATATGAGATGGCTAGAATTCTCTTTCAACACAAAGCTCTTTTACAGAAAAACGCGATGAAGTACTCAAAACGAACTTAGTGTACTTTGATGGCCTCTCCGTAAATTTACTTGCTTAGATACTTAGATAGTCTGTCTTCTTTGATTGTGCGAACCCCATCACATATTTCAAAGGGTATATTGTTGGTCGTGCATATAATATTACTTGGTTTCATGAAAACCTTGCAAGGACGTTTTTGAGTCTTCACGATGTCGTTTCAAGGGAATGGACTTCGGCGACGGATCCTTGGCCGGGCTTCCCTTTTGTTGATTCGGAAATAATGTTAGACCGAAATCAAAAGCAGGTGTAGGAATGAAAATCAACCGACCGCTCACGGATGATGTGAAAGCCGAATCCCTTGTAAATGTATATGAAATAAATGGAAGACACCGTTCACGATGTTGATTAGCCTCTTAGAGATACGCCATGTATTTCAGCACCGTTAAAGGTGATTGAATGTATACCTGATCTGTATAATGATTTGAAATGGTCTGCTGATGCATTATGTCAGAGTTACTATCCTCCCAATTTAATATTTTAGCACTTTTTCGATCACCGGAAAGATGAGGGCTTGGCAAAGTCGGAGCTGTATGCAACCGAGGAATATGCGTGTGCATATTATGCAACGCTTCTTTTCACTGCACTTATACGGACAAAGGTTTTCATCAAACTAAGTAAAAATGAAGGATCTTGTAAGCAATAATGTGAACCTGACGTTTTAGGTGTCCTTCGAGCGAGGTCCGCTCATCAGATAGCTCTGACACGCCTTAATATCGAACGAAATATGCAGATGTCTGCTTGAATCACTTGATGATTGACAAATTATGGACGATGTGGTTCTGACGAACCAAAAATTAAGACAGAATTTGAACCTTTAACGAACATTCTCAATTCACAGCAGGCTGTACTAATCTATGAAAAAAAAATCACTACAGTCCAGATGTTTTTAAGAGAAATATACATATTGTCTTACTCAAACATTTGAAGCCTTAATTCGATGAGGCACGTATTTCTAACAACAAAACAACTGATTAAGTGGAATTATGAAAGTTAAATTTGCTTTCAAATGTTTCAATTTCAATTTTTAGCAATGTCAACGCTTTCTAAAACGAAAATAACATCACTGCAAAATCATATAGGCCACTAAAGAGATATTGCTCACCCAATCCTTACGTTCACATGCACTTTAGTAAAAGAGAAATCATTAGTAGGTTTGGAAAATTAGCAAACTAGCAACTATATGGAAGAATTATATGTGAGCACATGAACGGAATATCGTGTTGCTTTCAGTACAGATAGCAGGTAAGTGAATCGATATCAAGAAAACTGGAACAGTAAATGTTGTAAGTGTCGTCCTCTGTGCAATTAGCTATCTTCTTAAAATCCATGACAGCTAAATTATCGCTAAAATCGCTATGCTCTGATTGTGTAACAAGTTCTTTTGTTGGATCATTCTCTAAATATCACTAGCAGAAACAGAAAAAAGAACTGTCTAGAAAAAAATCGAGAAGGAAAAGAGACTTAGGAAAAAGAAGAGAAAAAGAGACTTACGCTTATTACTAGCAAGTTATCAGAAGAAAACAATATACCAACGCGAGACATCAATACTAACATCACAAATGGTTACAAATTTGATTTCAAGAATGAAAATACTTTTATAATAGTGCGATTTCAATGGCCGACATGAACTCTCAGCTTCTTCTCAGACAGAAAAAACGAGATGGCGGTCATGCGAATGCTGCTTCATTTCAGATAAACAGCATAATATATACCACACTCACAGTTCTTTTTTGATAAGCCAAAAACACGAGGCTGCTTCAATACAACATAATCTAACAACCGAACAACTGTTAGAGCAATGATAAGATGGTTCTCAATAAGCACAAGACACTCATCGGCCTCGTTTCAGGCAAACTAATCTTCCCATTTATCCCAAGTTGAGAAATCGGTACCACGTCTGCCTGAAAGAGCTTGGATAATAAAGGACACGTAAATGCTTATGTGTGACGATGAAAAACCCTAATATAATTATCTCGGAATTACAGAAAGAGTAGACTTGACCAGTCTTCAACGATATTCATGAAAATGTCAAAAATGAACCACGTCCAGAGCGCAAACTTTTAGAATCCTGTAATTGATGGATGCGGCAGGACGAATCGGGTGTAGTAGCTGCTATGATACGCACAACATATGATGAGCTGTCATATTGAAAAATAACGGGGCTCCGTAACATCAAAACAATAATATTTGCCGTTTAGTGCACTGGTCGGATGACAGAGAAGAACTGTCACATTAGTCTATAGATATACTTAGATAGTATTGTAAGATACTATGATTTACTAAGCAAATGTAAATATGTTTGAGTCGGATTAGTGCTTGATATTGATGGTGAGTGCCCTTTTCAAATTTTTTTGTGGATGTTAAACTGCTAAGTGCAGCCCGCGATTCATTTACACTATTGAGTAACCCAAGAAAGCCGTATTGTTCACTCATAGTGAGCTTTGTGCTGATGTTCTATTTGATTATCCAAGCCGACGAGTCGCATAAAGGAAAAATCGTATTGATAGCGCTTTTTTACAATGGGGCTGAGATCTAAGCAACTGATCTTCTCGTCATGGATATCAATTGCTTAGCCGAATCGATTTGGTCATATTATGACTATTTCTATGCTTTCAAGAAGGCAAAGTGGGTTGGAAAATCAGCCATAAATGAATGATTGTTTTGCCAACAATCTCATTTGAAATTAAAGGATAAAGGATAAAGGATAAAGCTCTTAGCGTTGATCAATCCATGTGTGGTACGCCATGCATTCGTCTTCAAATTTTAACTTCGTTTTGAGGTGATTGAATGCATATCTAGCCTTTACAATGACTCTGCGGTGGCCTCCCCTGAACCGAGTCAGTGCTGTTTATTTCCCTGACAAGTCTGAGAACAGCCCAGTACCAAATTACCCATCACGGAGAAATGGATGGCTTGGTGAGCCATGAGCGCAAGATCTAATCATTGAACTTGTGTGCGATGCAGAACACCTCTAACCTTTGCGCCACATGCGCTCTATTTGGTATATACCAAAGAAATCGAGTGGTGAGCAAAAATCCAACCTCAGGCGGAAGTTGAACCCACGTTTCATCCATACCGGGGCGCGTACTACCACTACACCACCGAGCCACATTTGCGCCCACTACTCATCTATTACTATCTCTATGATAGCTATCACCCACCAACATCTAACAAGTTTAATCAGATATGCGATTTCGCTTTTCGAACTCAGTGAGCTGAAACCATTATGATATGCAATACCCATGGTTTCTAATTTTATACTGCCTGCGAAACTGCGAAAGAGGCAGTAAGAACATTAGAAACCTCAAGTATTACATATCACAGTGGCTATCAGTTTACTGGTTTCATAAAGTGATATCGCATGGCCGACCAGACTTGTTAGAGGTTGGCGACCGATAGCTATCAAAGAGATATGAAGAATGAATGGTGGCGCAAATGTGGCTCGATGGTGTAGTGGTAGCACGCACCCACGGTATGGGTGAAACGCGTGTTCAACTCTCGTTTGATGCCGGATTTTTTCTCACCACTCAACTCTCCTAGGAATATTTGAAAGATCATAACACTGCGCAAGTAGCAGAAAATTAGAGACCTCATTTGAGTTAAGAGGACACAGTAGCTCTAAACTTTGCCACGCTCATTTCATTTCGCAATTCGATACTCTTGACACAAATATCATGAGAATGAAATGTTGTAAAGAATTTTCGACACTTTCTGCACCCTCAAATATTTTCGTGCCTAGTTAATGAAAACATAGGTGGGCATAAATATAGAAGCTCACAATAACACTGACGATGTAGCGAATGTAAGAACGAACAACTCAACTGTCGTTATTACTTTTTTGCAAGTCTTTTTCCCCTCAAGAACAAGTAGAAAACGTGAGCGCTGTTAAGCAAAGTGCATTGTCACTCAGCTTTTTCAAACAAACTATGGAGAAAGGGATGCCACTAGGTTGAGGAAAAATTTTTCTTAACACTCGTCGAAAATTCATTATTCATATATGAATTCAATCAAAACAACAGTAATCCTAAGAGACTTGAGTGATGCGCAAAAATTCGATCTTGGACGGGAGTTGAACCCGCGTTTCATCCATAACGGGATCGCATGGATGAAAACACGGGTTCAACTCTCGTCTGAAGGTCGATTTTTTGCTTACCTTTCAAGTCTCTTAGGAATATTTTAAACATCATAAACACTGCGAAAAGCAGCAGTGAAAACAAAAGAAAATCTTGGAATCATATAACAGCAATAATTATTACTCCGATGATGCTTAACCAGGTTGACGCAGTTCTCATCTGACGTCACGATACGCTTCCAAAGTCGATCGTTCATCGGGTTCTGCAACAAATGACGCGAACTTCTAGGCGACGATTGGCTTGAGCTTCAGTCAATTCGTGTGGATCTTGGCTAGCCATCTTGTGGACAAATTTAAGTTGTTGGATGATGATTCTAGACCGTCTTTTGGTCAATGCTCAGTTCTGTTGCCAATTAGCGAGTGCTTGTTGACGGCTCCTCATTCAAAACTGCTTGCATATCTCCATCGTCGAATTTCATCGGCCGGCTGGAACGGGTTTGATCTTCAGTACTGTGATCACCACTTTCAAATCGTTTGTACCACTTTGAAACAGTCGCATGGCCACCAGAAGTACTCCGCCTTCGGCACCACAGATTTCCTTCGCAGCATCTTTTGTTGAAATACAGTCGCTTCCAACAATACTGTATCAAAACTCGAAGCTCACTCTTGCCCATCGTCATCATTTGATATTCGAAGAGTACATAAAAATTACATGCACTATGATTAGCGCTGCTGTAGGAGTTTCTTATGGAAATATTCTTGAGACTTTCCCATGAATTCACATTGACCGACAGTGTGTGAAATAAATATAAAATTTAAATTTTTGCGGATGTTAAGGAACTTGTTCCTCAACTTAGTAAAAGCATGCCTCACCACGCAAGCATAGACATTTGAAACTATCGCCTTTGTCGGCTGTCAAAGATCAGAGAAAAGAAAAATTGCTGCCACATAAGTGAAGATGCTGAAGTTGAGGTTAACATGACAAATGATGTGCTATAGACACCAACGCTATCTATTCAGCGGTTGGATCTCATGGGATATCAATCGCACACTAAGAAGACCACAAACGACATTGTCAGGCTTCTTTACGGAGATTCTGTGCAAAAATATGACTTTTCCATCCCTGGAGAAGAGCGGACACCTACTAGGCTACTTTGCAGTCTCCTTTTGCAGGCTCAGGGAAAATGCCTAATATAATAAGTGCCCACTCAAGTAAGTCAGCGCCACGGGAGACTAAGTGATCCAAATAAACAAAGGAATATGTTTGTTTTTGATACATTCCCCATACAACACCATCCGTCGCCAACATGAAGTCTGTTGATGACCTGACTAACTAGTTTTGCAATATTTTCTTTGCGAACCAAAATGTTTTTTTTCTATACATCACATCTATGACATTGTGCAGATTCAGAAATTCTCGCATTCGATTCGTTCTTCGCATCCATTATCCACGAAGGTCTTGGAATTCTTGATTGCAGATTTACTCGATATCCAGCAATTTGTCTTCTTTATAGATGCTGTTGAGTAATGGGCGAATCTATTACCACCAGGATTCTGAGATAGACATGAAAGGATGTCCTCATATATGAGTCACAGAATGTCACCAGCGTCTTGTAGAATGGAAAGAGCTGATCTTGATAAAAAGTATTTTATCAACTTTCCGACTTTAGATGAAGCGAAACTTGGGTGAGTCCAATTCACGGGCACTGTCCGGTATCATAAAAAAAATAGAGAAGAAACAAAAAAAAAAACAAACACTATGGTGAAATATTCAACTGAGCTTATAAAGCATCACAAAAATGTGAGGAAGTGTAACGAACAAGGTGAACCTAATCTCTGGTGTGAATTAACAAAGAAGATTTAATGAAAAGAATTTCGACGTGCTTTCAAAGCACAACTTGAACGTGCAGTCATGAAAGAACATTTTGATAAGTGATAAAAGTTTTACAAATAATTAACCGCTTTCCATAGTGGTGATGAGAAAAACAGATCTCTCCGTTTGTCGATTTAACAGGAAAATAACCGACGTATATTGGATATAATATGACGTTGCGAAACAAATGCTGCTTTCATCTTTAAGCTAAAATATTTCAGCTTATACTGAATAAAAATCACCACCCTTCGTAGATCGTTGACCAAAAAGAAACATGTTTTTCCTATTCTACCGTCCCAGAAAAAAGCTCTACACTAAGCCCAGTATTTCGAACACGAAACACTTGAAGAAGGCGATATGTTCCAGCAGGTCATCAAGACGTTCGCTACTCGACGTTAATTCATTACTTTCTTGATAAGGAACACGACATTGTTGTTGGACTATTTATTCCAAATAGCTAAAGATTTTTGAGAATTTTGTCTCTTCTTTAGAGTCCGGAAAGATCAAGTTGACTACAACCTCGCTAGCCATCATAAACTCAATGTTTCAATTGTGTAGAAAGTTTTAGAAATTCATAAATCTATTTCGAAAAATTTGGGAGTTTTGATTTGCTCATAAAATGGGAAGAATAAGTTTTTGAAAACAAATAAAAAGTTATGGAAACAGAGTAGATCTCTCGTGTTACTCCGCTAAGTTCTCAGATTCAGATGTTTTAACGAATTATTATAGTATTGCTTGATTGATAGTTTCGTTTGTATTGAATATGCTTTGACAATAACTTTTTTCGAATGCTGTACTATCCCTAAAAGAGCCACTTGATGCACTTTTTCTCCAAAATTGCGAATTCCAGTATAATTAGTGTTTACGAGGTGTTTTATAGGTCCAAACGTCAGATATCAATAAAGTTGTGGACGAGCTAAAAATCTGATGTACGCAGCGCATAAGACTCGAAACATCAATAAGACATGGAGTTAAGAAAATGTAGACAAATGGACAAAGTAACTTGGCTTAAAAATTTCTGCGGTGGCGAAACTGACTTCAAGAGTGAGACAAGTCGCTGAGGGTCCGTTCTGCTACTAACGGCCTTGAATGCAAGACCTTTGTGTAAGTAAATGTACGTATAACTACTCCTCGATAAGTTGCGCAAGCCAGTGTAGGCCTTTCGACTATTTCGGAGCACTTAGATGTGATCGGAAAGTCGAAAAAGCTGGATAAATGAATGACGCGTGATTATAGTGAACAATTAAAGGATATGATCGATCTGAGGATATTGCTGCTAGTTAATCTATGCAACCTAAGCAATTCCATTTTCGAAAGTAGTTGAACACTACACGAAATGGATTCCCTTGCACTATCGATGATGTCGTGCTCACTGGTTGGACTGTGATGAAGCATCACAGCGCTTCCCAAAGCTACCATCACAAAACCGCGATTTTGGTAAAGGGATTAGGATGAAAAGGTAAATTTAGCAAATCAACAAAAAACATGAGAACTTTGAGGGCTACGCGATGCACTGGTCTACAGATCGGCGCGAATTCTTTTCCACGAAAATACGAGATGTTACACGTCGAACTAGTCACTCTGCAAATTTGGACGAACTGGGCAACGAAAGTCTGACTCAACCACCTATTCTTGGTGACCTTTCCTCCCACCGGCTACCATTTCTTCAGTCATCGCGATAAACTACTGTTCGAAAAGCGTTTCACAAATCAACCAAACAAACACAAAAACTACCTTTATCAACTTCATCGCGTCAAAATATGGGAATTGCAAGAAATTGGTAGAGGCCTTATTTCTAATTAAAAGATGTGTCGATTTCAATGATTTTCGCTCTGATCAGTATTGCTTACTTGCGCTGGAGTTGCCACTCAAACAATGCACGTTGAAATCCAAAACCAATTTCGGAACAACATAGCAGGAATTTTGTCAGCTGCCGAAAAGCGAGCTTCAGACATCATATGTCATGTCAAAAAAGTCAAGTTGTACAAATAGGCTTAGATGCAGCAGAAAATTGACCAGCGATTCTCCGAATTGACAACAAACTTTAGTAAACGTTAAACGAGGAATAATGGCCAAATCTGCGATTATAGAAGTGCATTCCGCCAAGATATCTCATAAACACTCCGTCGCCGTTTCCTTTGGTTCGGTTATCCAAAGCTTGCTAACGCTCTCAAGGGATCATTCCAACAAGGCGGCAAACCTCTCTCCAATCCACGTAGATCTCCGGTTATCTGTGATGAAGACCTCGTAATCTCTTAACAGGGGTGTACTGAGACTCTATGGAAAGCCCTTGTGATTATAGTAGGGAGATGAGAACATCACGATTGCTCGGGATCTCATGAAACATAATAGAATATAATAGAGACCGGAGGGCGCCGTGGCCGAGTGGTTGTAATGCTTGTCGGCGCGCGTGTGGAGCTGAGCTCCACCCTCCCCCCTTTCTCAGGCAGTCAACAAGAACAACCTATGGGACGCCATACCCAGGCTATCCTCGAGATTGCAAGGACACGTGCTCGACCAGTATTCTACGTGATTCAAGAAGAAACCGGAAAACAAATCAGATGCT